AGAAGAAGAAAGAGTACATGAAGTTATCAGAAAAAAGTGATGAGGAGATATGGGAGGAGTTGGAGGGGAGAGAGTGGGCATGGACTTGATCAAAACACCTTATATGCATGTATGAAATTCTCAATAAATTATTTAAAAGAATGAAAACAATATGTATATGAAGCAGTAATAAAGATTAGGACAAGAAATTGAGAGGGATTGGGGAACATGGGAGGTGTTGCTGGGGAACTGGGAGGGATGGAAATAATGCAAAGACAATACTCATATATGACATTCTCAAAAATTAAAAATTTGGAAGAAGGAGGAGGAGGAAGGAAGGAAAAGAAAGGAAAGAAAGAAAAAGAAAGAAAGAAAGAAAGAAAGAAAGAAAGAAAGAAAGAAATAGAAAGAAAGGAAAAGTTAATTTGATCTCATTCTCAGTACTTGAGATCTTTGTGACCAATAAGAAGAACTTTACTTCAGAGCAAAAAGTTCAGAGAATTCATAGGGAACTGTACGTGTGTGTGTGTGTGTGTGTGATTTGACTTTCAAATGTTATTAATGGTTTTTTTTGGTCATTTTGAGACAGGGTCTCCCCGTAGCCCCAGCTGTCCTGGAACTCACTATGTAGACCAGGCTGGCCTTGAATTCACAGAGATCTGCCTGCCTCTGCCTCCCAAGTGCTGGGATTAAAGGCGTGCACACCACGCCTGGCTGTTAATATTTTTAAAAGATATCGATATGACTACTGTGGTTTTGCTATTTTAGGACCCTTAATTTTTTAAAATATGTTGAATATGCTGAAAAAAGATGTGCAAACTTCCAAGTAATCTAACAGGGAGACATAGCTGCAAATACAGTTTTACTATACATGCGGACAGTTCCAAGAACTGAATACATATTAGGGCACAAATAAGAATTACAGAAAATTCAAAGGAGTTTCCTATAGCCAACATTCTCTGTGTATGCTATAATACAGTTATTAATTAACTAAATAATTTAAAAATAAATTCATATATTTCAAATTTTAAAAATCTTTATAAAAAAGTTGCATTTGAGAATTATAGTGATGGGGCTGGAGAGATGGCTCAGTTTAAGAACTGGTTTTTCTTGCAGAGGACCCAGATTCAGTTCCCAGCACCCACATGGTATCTCAAAACCATCTGTAACTCCAGTCCCAGGGGATCTGACGCCCTCTTCTGACCTCTGTAGGCATTGCACAACACAGATACACTTACATACATGCAGGCAAATACACATAAAATAAAAGTAACAAAATATTTAAAAATAATAACAATAATAAACATAGTGACATGGGGTGACCCATGCACGTACAAATCTCAGCCCTTGGGAAGCTGAAGTAGGAAGGCTGCAAGTTAGAGGCCAGACTGAGCTACATAAGACCTTATCCCTAAAACTGAAGGTCCAAAAAAGAATCTCTCTCTCTGTCTCTTTCTTTCTCTCTCGCTCGTCAAACTATTTTAAAGTATTTAAACTATTTAAATACTAAGTATTTAAAACTGGGTAACAGCTAATTGGTACACGTCAAAACTTGCGCAGTGTATCAAACGTAGTAGACGTGTACATGGCAGAAGTGAAAGGGAATCGAGCACTTAGCTCAACAATTATTCTGCTTTTTTCCTTTCTTTTTGTGTTAGGAGAAAGAATTTAGGTAAGAGTAGAGCAGATAGTTGAGTAGAGAGCAGAGAATGGCAAAGGGTCAACTAAAATAAAAGCTAAACAACCTTTTTGACTGACTGTAGGCTCGGAGTGTAGCTCAGTGGGAGAGCTCCTGCCTGGCCATGGCAAAGCCCTGGGTTCACTCTCTAGCACTGAAAATGTGAAAAAGAAAAAGAAATCAACGTGAAATGAGTAATCCAGTAAAACTGTGGCAAGAAGGATGGTGCAGAGCAGGAAATAAAACTATCAAAAGCTCAAAAGGAGATGTAACTACAGGCACACCAAATGTTTTTTCAATGTATATTTTTATTGAATTTTTGTGCATTTGATACAATACATCCTAATCATATTTAGACACCTCCCCCACGTGCATCCCCCATAGCCCACCACAGGATTTCATGCTTTCTGTCATATATGTTGAGGCCTATAGAATCAAGTTTTATATACCCAGATGTCCTTCGATGTGAGTTCATCCATTGGAGCCTGGTCACTCCCTTAAAGAAGATTGATTTAAATAGAATGCAGTGAGACTCTTCACAAAACACAAATGAATTGACAAATTCACTTAAAATATAAGTTAATAATGAATATTAAATCATGTATAAATAGAAGAGCCACATAAACATAAAAGTTTTTTTAAAAGATTGCAATTTACCCCATATTAATTGATGAAGTCAACCCATTCTTCTATCAGAAATGAGGCTGGAATGGGTTTTTTTGCTGGATTTGATAGGGTGATTCTTTACTATTGTAAAGGGCCAAAAATAGCATAGGAAGGATTATAAATTAATGCAAAGTATAAACAAAGATACCATAAAAGGTTATAAGATAAGTTGATGATTGCAAGAAGATATTTGTGTGAAAATGACACAAGATTAGCATGAGAATTAATTTTTCAACAAGAAAAAAAAACCTCTGTAGGAAAAAATGGAAAACAATATGACATTAATTCACAAGAGAGGAAACTTAAGTGGCGACTAAACCAGTTGAAAATGTCCTTATCTCAGTAATCAGTGAGAGCAAAATAGGTTGCAAGGTGAGACAGGTGAGGTGGCTCCTGCCTGTGGCCCTTGGACACAAAGTTTTGCTGTGAGTTTCAGGTCAGTCTGGGCTACAGCATGAGACTGTCTCAGCAAGCAAATAAATATGACACAGTCTAGGTTCATAGTTAGCAGGTTGTTTAAAGATCTGATAATATCCAGTGTTTCAGGTCCATGGGGAAAGGGAGACATCCATACCCAGTGATAGGCTGGGTAGTGTGTAAGTGCTCTACTTTGAAGATTATTAAGTAATTCCTACTGAGGTTGAAGATACAGCTCACTATCCAGAGACTGACCTTCTAGATATATGTTATGGAGATACTAATACATATACTTATATAATCAGAAATAAATAGTCATGAAACCATTGCCTATAGGTGAAAAATTAAGTGTTGTTTTTCATGAAATCATTGTTATTTTAAAATTTTAAAAATCATCCTCTTCAGTATGAGAAAGATGTTCCTTAATCACAGCAAAACTCGTTTCAGGGCTTCCCCGTGATATTTGTTTCCTTTAAATAAAGGTTTTGTATGCTCTGATATAGTCAACCAATCAAGAAACCATTCTAAAAATGAAGAAATAAGATTCTTGAAATTATTTTTAAATAATACTATGATAGATGTTTTAAATAGATAGCTTGCCTATTCCTTTTTTCTAATGTTTTTTGGGTTAGTGAGAAATTATTTTTATACACCATCCATTTTCTTTCTCTGAAATGTTTAGCAATGCCAGTAGGAAGCAGATGTTAATTTTAAGCAAGAAATTTAACCAGCAAATTTTCCAAAACTTTTGTAAAATGTCCTATATAGTTTAAAAAGAGCATAATAATATAAGATTAAAGTGGTTACTGTATAGCCTGTTTAGGGAAATAGGACCACCAGATTTCAGTAACAGACCATGTACCTGATTATGGTCCTATAAGCTTATCATACCATGGAAAAATGCCTAGTGATGCTGGTTTAAACAAACCTACCCTTTTTTTTTTTAAGTTTATTTTAAAACATTGTACTGTGCCACATTGGCAACAACCTCACACGTGTCCTGATTGTTACTCTTCTATTTATATTATTTCTCTTTAACTTGATTTGCTCTCTTGTTTTGTTTGTTGTGGCCCCTAATGAAATCAGATCTACTGCTGGTGTTCCCAGTAAGAAGCCACACCAAGTGACTGACCTAGAAATGAGATATAAAGTGGTTAAGGGTTAATTATTGAAAATTAATTATTCAGCATTTCAGGCATGTCCCATTCCATCATAGGAGCATGTCTTGAGTGGCAAGAACAAAGTGATAGGAGCTGTTAAAAGTCCTATTTGGTTGAAGGCAACAACTACCAAAAATTCAAGAATGGCCAGCACTGAATATTGGAGAATGTTCTGAGGACCTAAATGAAAGAACCTAGACCTGACTACATTGTTTTAGTCAGCTCTGAGCAGTTTAAGTAGTTCAAGCATTGTTCTTTACATAATGTGGGAGTGGGTGGTGGGTTTGAGTGCTGATGTGAATGTGGTGGAGTTTGTGAAAACAATGTATAAGCTACTATAGAGGAAAATTACTTGACATAGCAAATCTTAGTAAGGGTGAAACTTCCCTATTCTGGAACCAGATGCCTGAAAGGTCTTCCATCCATAAGGAAGGCAAATTGTGCCAGGTCTCAATGATTTTAAGGGTAGTGTAACAGGCTGCTTAGGAGCAGTGTAGTATGATGCTACATGCTGCAATCTCTGTGAGCAGCTGAGTGAGAGGTCTGCTGTCAGGTCTGCTGTAAGCACACACAGCAGCAGAGGACGCAAGTCCAGGCTGCCCCTCCTAGGATGGCCCTGAGCTGCTGTGCAGCAAAGTTAAAGACTGTTGAGAGGATCACTCAGGTGTTGAGGTTTTGCTTATTGTAGATCATCCTCTTCCATATCCTCCATTTATCAGTGGCCTTCATTGCAGTATCAAAGTGCTGTTGCTGTTTCTAACCAATAGACCAAGAAATTCTAGCAGGTTTTTCTCTCCTCCCCTGCCCCCCCCTTTTTTTTGTTTTTTGTTTTGAAACAGGGTCTCCCTGTAGCCCCAGATGACCTGGAACTCACTATGTAGAACAGGGTGGCCTTGAATTCACAGAAATCTGCCTGCCTCTGCCTCCAGAGTACTGGGATTAAAGGTGTGTACTACCACACCCAGCTTTTTTTTTTTAAGGTCTCTCTTTAAAAAAAAAATATACTTCATTTATTATTTTTATGTGTACAAGTGTATTGCCCGCATGTATGTAAGTGCTCCAGTGTTGTACAGTGCCCCTGGAGCTTGTTGGATTCCCCAGGAACTGGAGTTACGGACTGTTGTGAGATGCCATATGGATGCTGGGAATCAAACCTGGGTCCTCTGCAAAACAGCCAGTTCTCTTAACCACTGAGCCATGTCTCCAGCCCCCAAATTCTAGCAGTTTTTAAAGGCTGCTGTTGAGGATTTTTTTTTCTGGCCACTGCTTTAACTGAAGACCCTAAGACACTGATGGATTTCTAGGAGGGTTATGTCTTTGGCTGCTCAAGAACCTTGCTTGGACTGCAGTAATGTACCAATGAGTTGACAAAAATATTAAACACCTGGTATGGGTAATGACAGCAGTGCAGGCTTCGTAGTTGCTGAGTGCTATTGTTTAAAGAAAATATCTTCACATACAAGGCTCTCAGTGGGCTCCATGGGTTATTGATAGAAAATATTTTTGAGATGCTTTTTTTCATATTTTATTTATTTTATTTTATTATTTATTTATTTATTTTTATTTTATGTGTATGAGTGTATTGCCTGCATGTATGTGAGTTCACCCATGTTGTCCAATGCCATGGAGGTCAGAAGAGGGCTTTGGAGCCCCTTGGAACTGGAGCTAAGGATGGCTCATAGCCTCCATGTGGGTGCTGGGAATTGAATCTGGGTCCTCTGCAAGAGCAGTCAGTGCTCTTAACCACTGAGCCATCTCTCCAGCCCCCAAGATGCTTTCTTTTGACTCTATATCAGCAGTTTATCAGAAAGAAAAAGCAACCTAATAATACCAACGTAGAGTATTTACTTTTTTAATGTTAGAGAACAGCTGTGTGTCAACTTTGTTCTAATGAGAAAAATGTCTGGGTATTTGTTCCAGTATAAATATTAAATTTAACGTATTCTTTTCCTGATCTTGCCTTTTAGGTTCCACTGTCTTTGATGAGTAAAGAAAGTAGTGAAGAAGGTACAGCATATTATGGCTCTTCTTTAAGTATCGTCATCTGTGTGTGATAGTGTACACAGATGCACTTCCAGGAGTTGGTTCTCTCTTTCCACTGTAGACTCAGGGGATAGAACTCAGATCATCAGATGGGAGCAGGCTTCCTCACCCAGAGCCATCTCTCTGGCCCTGTTATGGTTCTTGAGAGCAGAATGCACAAATGTGTTTACTGTAGTGGAAACCAAAACAATAGAATTAGTTTAAAAGTTATATAAATTAAATATTTCAAGAAATGAAAAACACATTAATTTTAGGGTAGATATGATTTAATTACATGGTGATATTTTTGTATTTGTTTGAGTGAAGTAATAAGAGATTCCAGGTAGTTCCGGTAAATTTATGATGATTCCAGAAACCTGAATCTGAAAGATTTTCTTTTATTATCTGTAGTCATTTTAATAAGTCATTCATTTTAACTGAGGTTCTTTAAACCAAAATTTATAATAGGATTAAAACTAAATCCACATTTTAAAATAATCATTATTTGAAGCCATTTTGAGAAACAAAAGTATCTTTCAGTAAAAATTTCACAATGTGGACTGGAGAGATGGTTCACTGGTTAAGAGCACTGGCTGCTCATGCAGAGGACCCAGGTTCGATTCCCAGCACCTACATGGTGGATAACAACCATCTATAACTCCAGTTCCAGGGGATCTGACACCCTCTTTTGACCTCTGAAGGTGCTGCACTACACGATGCACTTACATACATTCAGGCAATATACTCATACACATAAAGTAAAAATAATAAATTACAAAATTCAGAATGTAAGCCTATGTACATAGCATTTGTCCTTCAAACTATGGCAAGGCTTTTGGCCCCTTGTTTCAACTTAATGAATTTGGAGGAAAGCTGAGAACAATTTACTATGTCCAGTCCCAATATGTCTAGGAAGGAGAGCATCCCCAGACATGATTTCATGGAACAAGCCAGGCTGTTATACTGTTCCTTTGCAATACATCTCATGTCTGGTATTTAATGAACAATCAAATTTTATAGTAATAAGTTTTTCTAAGCTTTTTCTACTGTGGCCTGAGTGCTGACTTCTGTGCTGTTCATCAGAGACTCCGATGACCTGCGAGAATGTCAGAACACAAAGTGGAGTGGTTCTATGTTGCTTATGGGTGGCTTGAGCCAAATGAGAACTTGGGACAAGAACTGTGGGGAAGTAGCCAACCTTTAAGTGAAGAATGTAATGAACTAGGAGTGTAGAGGCTGTTTATCTGCCCAGTGCTTCAGACAGATCGGAATGAACTCTGTCTTACCTTTCTTCACCCCTCCCCCATCTGCATTCCCCTCTCTTTGATCGCAGAGCAAGTGTGGCACTTCCTTCACCAGTGACCAGGACACCAGAATCTGCATCAAGATGTGCACCTGTGAGGGACCCCGAGGCTGCTTCTCTCTGTAGTGCTGGAGAGGCAGGTCTGTGAGCATTTACTGACTTCCTGTCAACATCATTGTTTCAAAACTTTTAAAATAAGCAATATGTAAATAAACAGACATTCTGAATTTCTCTCCCCTTTGGACTTTTATTGATAAAGGAAGATTTGGCTTAATTTCATAGCAGAACTAAAAGCATTTTCCCAGTTCTGATTTTTATACCTAAAGGAATACAGTGATTATATTAACTATCGTGTCTAATGGGTTAAATGTCAAAATCACAAGTCTAATAATAAAGTTTTTATTGATACTATTGTTCTGATTTTCATACCTTTTTATTTCTTTCCAAGTCCATTGCTGATGAAGGCTTTATTTAGCCAAGTTTTGTCGCGCCCCCCCCCCCTTTTTTTTTGGTCTTTTTGAGACAGAGTCTCCCTGTAGCCCCAGCTGTCCTGGAATTCACGGTGTAGACCAGGCTGGCCTTGAACTCACAGAGATCCGCCTATCTCTGCCTTCTGAGTGCTGGGATTAAAGGCGTGCACCACCACGCCTGGCTCGCTCTCTCTTTTTTATTTTTTTTGATAAATTAAAAAATATTAAAATTACAAATATCTATTTCGGGGCTGGAGAGATGGCTCAGCGGTTAAGAACACGGACTGTTCTTGCAGAAGACCCAGGTTTGAATCCCAGCACCCACATGGCAGCTAACAACCGTCTAACTCCAGTTCCAGGGAACCCAACAGCCTCTTCTGTCCTCCGCGGGCATTGCATGACACAGGTGCATCTACCTACATGCAGGCAATACACTCATATACATAAAATAAAAATAATAAAATATTTTTTAAGAAGCTGGAGAAATGGCTCAACAGTTAAGAACACTGACTGCTCTTGCAGAGGACCTGGGTTCGATTCTCAGCACCCACATGATGTCTACAAACCGTCCTTAGCTCCAGTTCCAGAGGAATCCGAAGCCCTCTTCTGACCTCCGCGGTATTGCACAACATGGGTGCATGTAGACATACATGTAGACATACATGTAGACAGTATACTCATACACATAAAATAAAAAAGAAAATTAAAAATTTTTTTAATATTTAAAAAAAAATCTATTTCTCAAAATGTCATTAATAGAATTAGAAAGTAACCCATACAATTAGAGACTACATTTATAGCTAAGTGTATATTCTAAATATCTAGAAAAACTCATCAATAACTAGACAGACAATACAATATAAAGATGCATGCATAATGTACAGAATAAGCTATCCAAACAAACAATAAACATGTGACAGGCTCTTTATTAGTCAAGAGGGAACTATAGATTAGAACCACATGAAATAATCCATTATTGGTCTGTGTAGATGTGCTACGTTACTAAGGCTCCTCCCCTGATTTGTTCATGACCCTACCTACTTCCAGTTTTTCATTCCTTCCCCATTTTCCCAGTTTTTCTCTCCATTCCTGTGACAGAACACTCTGACCAATACCAACTTGGGGAGGAAAGAGTTTATTCAGCTTACATATTCTGGGTCACAGTTCATCAGGGAGCCCAAGGTAGGAACTCAGGGCAGGAACCTGGACGCAGGAGCTGGAGCACAGGCCATGGAGGAACGCTGCTTACTGGCTTGCTCCCCTGGCCTCTGTTCAGCCTGCTTTCTTAGGCAACACAGGCCCACCTGCCCAGGGGGGGGCCCACCCACCCTGGGCTGGGCCCTCCCACATCACTCAACAATCAAGTAGGTGCCCCATGGACGTGGCCACAGGCCAGTCCAATGAAGGCAATTCCCCAAATGAGGCTCCCTCAACCCAGGTGTGTCAAGTTGACACTAAAGCCATCCAGCACACCCATAATTTCAGTTCTCTTCTCTATGGTGATGACTACCAATCAACAGAAGAAACCCTGATCTCTCCCCTGGGCCCTGCCTATTAGACATCTCTTTAAATACCTTGGATACCTCTTGTCCAAAACTTAATATTGGGGGCTGGGGATTTAGTTTAGCGGTAGAGCACTTGCCTTACAAGCGCAAGGCCCTAAGCTTGGTCCTCAGCTCTCAGGCTGAAGGGGGTTGGGGAGGTAGGGTGGAAGTGAGGAGTCGGGGTAGGGGAAGAGACAGCAACAAAAAAGACCAAACAAAAAGGCAACCAGAACTTAATGTTGGAATGAAGTTCCCCTCTGTACTCAGGAAGGCCTCTGTTTCTTTGCCACCTGTTCCTTTGCTAACTTGTCTCCCTCCTTCCCCTGGGCTCTGGGAAGAGCCCCATCTCTCATGCAGGCCTCTTGGATCCAGCCTTTTTGTGCTTCCACTCCAGACTGCTCTAGCTCAGCTTCATGCTCCAACCTCTTCTCCAAGTGATTATTGTGCCTCTGGCTTTGCTCCTTCCAGCTCATCCTCCACATTTCCAAATAATGGTTCTCTTAAAGCATTGGTCTTGCCTTCCTGTTTCTCTAAAAATATATTTGTAGCTCCTGTATGCCTGAGGATAAAAACCAGATGTTCTTTTTCTCCAGAAACCCAGTCCTAGCCTGCTGTGCTGCCCACTTTACAGATGTGTGTGCACGTTCCCACTCCCAGGACTATGTGGCTGCCTTTACCAGTTGTGACCATAGCCTTTTCTCACTTTTTTCTTTATTTTAACTTCAAGAACATTGCACTTACTAATACGTTTTATGGTTTGCAAGGTGCTGTTATGACAATACTTTCCATTTACTGAGCACCTGTGTTTAGGAACTTTTAAAAAGCATATGTGCATTCACCTTGTAAGGCAGATGTTTCTCACTTCTGCCTTATTTGAAGCCCCAAGATATTCTCTACCTTGCCCAAGATCACACAGCTAATACATTTCAGAGCCAGAGTTAAACCTAATGACTATCTGGCCCAACATCTTATGGATTTTCCAAACTGTTAAGCATGCTTCTTCTCACACGTGATGAAGGCAAGGCTCATAACATCCTTTGTTTAGAGATCAAGATGGAGACAGTTTAATGGTTAGCCCAAGAATAAATAACAATGTTTGCTTTGTAAATATGTTGTGTGTGCATGTGGTAGTCAGAAGGACAGCCTCAGGTGGCATTCTTCCTCAGGCAATGTCCACTGTGTTCTTTGAGGTGGGATAGGATAGGGATAGGATCTGTCCCTGGGACCTAGGACTCACCGATTTGTCTTAACCAGCTGGCCAAACAGCCCATGGAGCCTCCTGTCTCTGTCTCCCCAGTGCTGAGTTTATAAGCACATGCCACCATGCTGGACTTTTTACTTGGGTGCTGGGGATGGAACTCTGGTTCTCAAGCTTATACAGCACTGTATCAAATGAAACGTCCCCAGCCTGCTCAATGTTTCTTGAAATGTCTTTGGGAAATGTGTGGACTTCTTTGAGGGACAACAAAGAATATATTGTTTTTAATATTATACTGACTTGTTATGAAGCTAAAACCTATAAAAAAAAGAGACTAGAAAACACCTTTGCAGTAAAAATTATTTGCCATTTAAAAAAAAATCCTTGAATTATCAAGGAAGGGCTAGATTGATAGATTTCCGCATGTAGCGTCACTCTCCTGTGTACTGAAAGAAGCCATGTCTGAGTGAGTCTGAGGTAAAGCAACTTTTTTTTTCTCAAATAATGCATGTAAAATTTTGATAAATAATTCTTTGATGGTTTGAAAAACCAGAGGGAAATGTATTAGCCAAAGTCCTACCAAAAACTAAACATACAATAAATATAAGTACATGTATATAGCTAAAGGTTATATAACAAAAAACACAGGGCCAGGCAGGAGAAACCTCCCTTCAAGTTGTTGATCAGGGTAGTCCAAGACTCTCCCAAAATAATATAGGCTATTGTCACAGCCCTTGATTGCTTGAAGATAAGGCCCTATTGCTGAAGAGAGCCCACATTTTAGACACAGGACTTGGAGCAATGGAGCTGGAACTGACCTGGAACCCTCCTCTCTGAAGACTAGCTTTCATGGTATCAGATACTATGATACTATACAAGGTGCCAAAAAAGAAAACCAACCAATGGTCCCACCCCAGCTATAAAGCCTAATAAACAACAATGAGAGGCCTAGCACACTACAGGTATTGGTGCAGTAGTAGCACTTTTATCTTCAAGGTATTCAACGGTTGTCTAATTGGGATTAAGGCCCACTCAATGGAAGAGAACTCGTGTGTGGTACTGTAAACTCAGCCAAACACACATGGCTGGAAAGATCATAGATCCTAGAGAAAAACTTACTTCTGCTGCTTCCCTAGACCAATGTAATTTCTTACTTTATTCTAAATATACCTCCTCATATATAAGGACAAGTATTCCTTTTACCCCTTATCACATTGTTATATAGCTGTTGTTATGGTGGTTGTTATTATTGTCATCGTTTTTACTGTGGCACTTGGAATTGAACACAGGGCCTCACACAGTTTCAGAAAAGTACCCTGCCACTGAGCTACATCCCAACTCTAGTCATAACTATTATTGGAGTGACCGTTACAGTTTGTTGAGTTGGTCTTTTATAATTGTTTTAGAATGTTTTCAGACTAGCTAATTTGATCTTTGCCAGCTTGAGACTATTAAATTGAATAAATTTTATAGTAAATACTTAGAAAGGAAGACCACTGGGAAATAGTAGAGTGTATCGTTTCTAAAACTGCCCAAACTGCTTTAAAGAACAAAATTGACCCGTGGGTGGGTTGTTAGGTAATACCCAAAGATAGTTTCCATGGGTGTAGGAAATCAAAAAGTGACTCTCCAAGACTCATTTTCTTCAAACTTGCTACAGTAGAAAAATAAGGAGATTTTCTGAGCTCTTGTTTATTTTTCTCATGCACACGAACCTGTCTCTTGCATGCTGTACTTAGCACTGTCCTTCATTGGACAGAAGGAACATATTGAGTTCATAAAATCCATTCTTCTACCAATGAATGCATGTACTATTAGGAATTCATGTGGTCATTAAAGGTATTTGACATTTATTCCCAGAATGGGGCTCATGGCTGTGACATAGTTCAAGCCATGTCTTGCTGCTGGTCATTTGTCTTATCATGTCATTCACAGTGAGTCAAATCTTTAGATTCTGTATAGCCTCCGTTATTTTCATCTTCCTTCTATATTCTGTCCAAGTGTATATCAGTGACTGCCA